AATAGAGTGAGCTCAAATAAATAACCTAATGTTGAACCTCAAGCATCTAGAAAAAGAAGAGTGAGTCAACCCAAAGCTTACATGAAGGAGGAAATGATAAAGGTAAGAGCAGAAATAATGCAATGGAGACTAAGAAAATAGTACAAAGAATCAATAAATTGAAGAGTTGGTTCTTTGAAAGATAGAAATAAAATTGACAAACCCTTAGTCAACCTTATCAAAAAAAAGGAAAGAAAAGATTCAAATTCCTACAATTAGGAATGAAAAGGGTGAAATCACAACAGAACCTACAGAAATACTGAAGATCATTAGTACCTACTTTGAGAACCCATACTCTAAAAAGACAATTTAGAAGAAATAGACAGATTCCTAGACAAATATGCATTACTAAAGCTGAATCAAGAGGATATAAAAATTATAAATAAGCCAGTATCAGTCAATGAAATTGAAGATGTACTTAAAAACCTACCAACAAAGAAAGATCAAATGCTGCCACTTCTTAAACTCTTTAATGAAATTGAAAAGGAAACAATTATCTCAAAGTCATTCCTGCAAGCAACCATTACCCTGATACCAAAACCAGAGAAGGATTCAACCAAAAAAGAGAACTACAGGACAATCTCCCAAATGAACAGGGCCACAAAAATCCTCAACAAGATACTGGCAAACAATGCAGCAAATCATCAAGAAGAGTATACACCATGACCAAGTAGGACTCATCCCATAGATGCAGGGATGGTTCAACATACACAAATCAATAAATGTAGTACACTATATTAACAGAGACAAGGACAAAAACCATATAGTCATCTCAATAGATGCAGAAAAAGTGTTTGACAAAGCCCAACACCTCTTCATGATAAAAAAAAAAAAAACTCTACAGAAAATTGGAATAGATGGTCCTTATCCCAAGCTGATGAAAGCTATCTGACAAACCAACAGCCAACAGCATATTAATTGGACAAAAACTGAAAACATTCACTCTAAAATCAGGAACAAGACAAGGATGTCCGTTATCACCACTCTTATTCAATATAGTTCTAGAAACATTAGGCAGAGCAATTAGACAGGAGAGAGAAATAAAAGGAGTAAGGATAAGAAAGGAAGCAGTTAAATTAACACTATTTGTGGATGACACAATACTCTACATAGAAGATCCGAAAAACTCCACCAAAAGACTTCTAGATATAATGACCAAATTGAGTAGCATAGCTGGATACAAAGTCAACACTCAAAAATCAAAAGCATTCCTGTACACAAACAACAAACTCACTGAGAGAGAAATTAGGGATACATCTTTCACAATAGCATCCCAAAAACTGAAATTCCTAGGAATCAGTCTAACAAAAGAAGTAAAAGAACTTTACATTGACAACTGTAGTACTCTGAAAAAGGAGATTGAAGAGGATATCAGAAAAATGGAAAGATGTCCCTTGTTCCTGGGTAGGAAGACTCAATATAGTAAAAATGGCCATACTTACAAAATTGTTATAGATTTAATGCAATCCTGATCAAAATACCAATAGCATATCTCACAAATTTAGAGAAAACAATCTTAAAATTCATTGGAACCAGAAGAGGACTAGAATAGCAAATGCAATTCTGGGCAACAAAGGCAAGGCGGGGGGTATCACAATCCCTGACTTGAAATTATACTAAAAGCTATTGTGACAAAAACAGCACATTACTGGAACAAAAGCAAAACAAAACAAAACAACAAAAAACAGACCAGAGGATCAATGGAACAGATCCATTAAAAAGACTGTTCAGTAAAGGAGCATTTTTACTCTTTATGTTAAAATAGTGGCTTTAACCTAGATTAAAAGAGAATTTTTAAAATTTTACAGCTATCTCTACAATTTGTATTCATAACAACAAATATCCACCAACCTCCTAAATAATAAGGATTAATTTGAGGGTCGGATATTTAGCTCAGTGGTACCGCACCTGCCTCGAAAGTGCATAGTCCTGAGTTCGATCCCTGGTCCAAAATAAATAAATATTTTCTAGGGTCAGAGATTTAGCTCAGTGGTTCCATTGCTTGCCTTGCAAGCACAAGGACCTGAGTTCGATCCCTGATACCAAAAAATAAATAAATAAATAAATAAATATTTTCTAGAAAAAGAATTAATTTGACTGTTTCTATAAACTAGCAAGAAGATTAGGACTGCTCAACTGAGGGAAGGTAGACCCCCAACAGCAAAGCAGAGCAGAGACCAGTGTTTGGCTTTCACCTTCAGGCACTGGGTGACTTTGACCATTGATTTCTAGACAGATAAGGGCCTAAGGGACCACAGACAAAACTAAAGGCCTGGAGTTGACGGCCTGCCCTGAGGTTGGGAAAACACAAAGGGCTCCATCCTCTGTGCAAATATAAAGCAGAAATCATCCCACTCCTTGCTCTAATATGAGCAAGCTCAACAGCTGTGTCAAACCTTAGTGCTAAGTGACGGGGGAAAAATAACTTTCCTCTAAGGACTTAAAACCACTTGGCAATTAAAAGGAATAAACTAGGCTGGGTGTGGTGGTGCAGGCCTATAATCCCAGCACTTGGGAGGCTGTCCCACCTCCTAGCCCATGTAGCTATGAACTCATCGATAGATTAAATCCACAATATATAAATTGACCAGAGTGCTGGAGTTCAACTTCCAGGATCCTTGTACAATTCAAGACAGGAAAAATTTCAACTTTAGAATTTGGTAAGCATCCAAGTTGAAATTTTTAAGGTAACCCAGAACAAATAAAAATAAGACCAATAATCCACAATTTATGTAGAGAAAATGAAGTAATAACTTCAAAAGAGCAAGAAAAAAGGTGATAAAGATGCATGAGAAAGGGCTGCGGATTTAGCTCAGTGGTTTCGATGGCTGCTGCGCAAGTGCAAGGACCTGAATTCAATCCCTGGTACCAAAAAAAAAAAAGATGGATGAGAAGGCACAAATAAGATGATAATAATAGATCCAAGTACGTTATCACAGTAGAGACAAATGTTCTCACATACTGCTGGTGGGTTGTATAAAATGGTACAACCTTTTGGGAAAGTCTGGTGGTTTCTACCCTAACCCTGAATATGCCAATGTTATCATGCAGCAACCCTAATTCCTAGTGAATTACAAGCTACAGAAACTTCTGGGAAAGTCCACTGGGAGACACATCCAAGGATGCTTAAACAAAGCTACAAACAGCCCACACATCCATCAAGTGGAAGTGGGACAAGAAACTGATTTTTCAGATCTTCCACCGTACAGTCATGTTCTACTTATTAGTCTGGTAATGAGCCTACAGGGATTTGTTTTGCTGTTGTTCCTGACATGTACCTGCATACTTTCACGTACATGTATTTTTTGTTTGTTTCATAGTAAATATTAAAACAAAGGGAACTGGACAATTGCAAAAGGCTGCAAAAAGTGCTAAAGCCATAATTACAGAATGTCTTATGGCTCTATCCAATCACTTTCACCATTCTTACAAATAATACCCAACACTATCATAATCCACTGGAAACAAGTGTTTAAAAAAACGCACACATTGTTTTTGTCAAGGTCCATATTAGGGCCCCAACTTCCAGTACCAATCCAGGCCCAGCCTTGCCCGCCTCCCCTCACACCTTACTCTGCCCAATCAGGAGGTGGGGTAGTTCAGTAACTCTACATTTCAGAAACAAAGCCCCAACTTGTATGTTAAAACATCAATATAATGCCCAAGTGCTATGTATACTGTGGGGAATCAAGCAAGATGCTGACAGTGCTTTGGAAGGTTTGTTTATGCCAGAAAACCTTCCTAGAGGCTGTCCTTTGCACCAGCTGCCACTCAAGACTAGTTCCCTGTGCCCTGAGTCTATTTTGTTTCACAAATGGCTGCTCTTCCACGCCCTAGCTGTGCCAAGGTATTTCAAAAACTTGGCATTCCTAAAGCCTGCCATCTGTAAATTCAGACAGGACAGAGCTGCAGTACATGCAATGACAACCTCAAGGCCCAGTTCATGAATCTCTGCAAGGGTTAGGAGAAAGGGTATTTCATGGGATTTTTCTGCCAAATCCCACCTACCTCTGAAATCTCATTACAAGCACTGTACCAAAGACTCAAGAATATTAAATGTTGGACTCCATATTTCTAACATGAATATAAAATAGGGTAGGGAGGTTCTAAGGAGTATGAGCTAAATTTGGGCAATATTAGCTTTTCAGAAGCATGCTTTCATAACATGGCAATTCCTCAAGCAAATTGAAAGCTGTACAAGAGACCTACAAGATTCAAGTTCCAGGTGAGGGAGCCCTAGATTAGCAGCGAATGCCCAATATCACTACTGCTTTCACAGTGCTCTCGGAAAGACATCTTTAATCCATATCCAAACAAAATAGCTATTAGCTCTTCTATCAGCTTTCTGGAGAATTGGGCTGATTAAATGGATTTATTAGTTCAAGCCATATTGAATATGAAAAGCAAAAAGCAAAAGGAACTTCTCTCCCTGCAAAAAAAAAACCTAAGACAATGGGTCACCTCAACATAAGTGGATACGCTGATTCTCCACTATGGGGTAAAGATCAACCCAATAGTTTGGGGGAGGGGCCAAACTTGAAGCAACAACCCAGGAGGGAGGTGGGAACAGAGAGTCAGGTGACCAAGAGGGAACCTTGTGTGCAAAATCTCCTTTGGAAACCAATCCATCCGTCTCAGCGAGAGGCATATGCAGGGAGGGTGCTCTGACAGGCTTGCCCAGGTATCAGTTATAGATAACTGTCTGGGTCCACCTTCAAATAGCCCAGTCAGGGACTTTGTTCAAGGCAGGGTCCAAAGGGCTGGAGTCCAAAGGCTAGGCTGAGCTAGGCTGAGAGGGTGATTTTAAAAAACAGTGGTCAATATTCTAGCTCCCCAGGTGTTCCAACCCAATGAATCTAAATGTTACTGAAATGAAAACAATCTCTGTTTTGTCATAAGAAGGAATTTAACTCAAAACCTGAAGGAGGTAGAGGGGATGGGAAATGATGCAACACACATTTAAAAATATAAAATTTATTTATATCCATGGTGAGATAGTTTACATTCTGTACATGGTTACAGTGGCATTATATTGCTACCAAACTTTGCTAATGCTATTGCAGTTGAGGAAACTTCTTTCCTCCTTTAAAAAAAATTAAGGCTCAGTTTCCAAAAGGTAATTATACCACTTATTTTTCTGCTGAAGAGACTTGGAAAGTTTAAGGAAAAACCAGAAAGGGCTGGAGGGTGCAGGGCGACTTTACACACTTCCCTCATTCATGTTTAAGACAATCAATGGCATTTTTTAAAAGATTCCTTCTATTTGAAAATATGTTTAGTTAGAAAAAACAAAAAAATTCATATACAGAGAGTGTATTCGGCATACAAACAAGAACAGCTAAGCTCTTTGTCACCACTGCTGGCTAAAATGTGCTGTGAGTTCCCCACACATAAATACACATACACTCATTTACTGCCACTCATTTTTCCTTGGGGAAGCATCTCAAATGGTACTTCTCTTCCAACACATTAATAAAAATTAATTTACATTTCCTTTCCTCTTTCAGAGCAGGACACCACATTGTTGCCCTTTTTCCTAAATTCACTGTCAACCTCGCAATTGGATATGACGATGGTGGCAACCTCACATGGATGTGAACTCCATCCGCAAGCCAGTGAAGGGTGTGGGAAAGTAAATTAGGAAAACAGAGGTTGAATGTTTGAGAATTACTCTATCAACATGTTCTGAACATACTCCAGAAGCACTTTTTTCTGTGCAAACACTTCATTCAATCACCAGTGACGCCGTCCTTTCACAGAAGTCAGAATCTGTTCTAACTCAGGGAACTTCCTTACAATCCCTGGACTAATGCTAGAACAATGACTAGGGTCCAAAAGGGTAACTGCAGGTTCTGCCTCTGGTATCAAGAGGTAGAGATAATCATTCTGTAGAAAAGGTGAATAATAAAAACAAAACACTACACTCTGGAGGCTGACACAGGAGGATCGCCATGAGTTCAAGGGCAGCCTGGAATACATAGTGAGTTCAAGGCCAGTCTGACTGTCTCAAAAAAGCAAATGAAAACACTAAAATAAAACAACTCCCCCAACTACTGCATTTCTAAGGGTAGCTGTGGGAAGCCAAGCTCTCTCTGGGGCGTCATCAGTCTGATTCCACGTTGAGAGTGCCATTGCCCACAATCATCTTGCTGTAATTCTTCTGCTGCTCTTCCTTAAAAGTGTCCTTCACTTTTGCTCTCTTCAGCCCACCATCCCTGGAAATGGAAAGGTACATCTATCAGATACTCCCAGTAGGATGCAAGAAAGGTCATGTTAACGTATGTGACAGGGCGCCACAGCACATAAGGGGACACTGGAGTTGGAAGCAAGAAGACCCAGAGTTCAGTCTCTGAGCTACCACTCACCAAGTATAGGTTGGCGCGGCGGGGGGGGGGGGGGGGTGTTAAATAAAGAATAGCATCAGGCCCGGGATTTGGCTCAGTGGTGCTGTACCTGCCTTGCAAGCACAAGGTCCTGAGTTCAATCCTCAGTACCACAAAAAAAAAAAAAAATCTCCTCTATTCAGGTGTTTTTTAGAAGTTAGGGTTGCTGTGCTCCACATTTGAATTTAAATAAGGATTATTAAAACCAGGATTGTTTCCCTATGTTTTTCCCAAAGGAAAAAAAAAATATTGGTTTTTCATCTACCTGTGTCTTACTGGAATACCTTATGAAAAATTTAAAATATACACACAAGAAATAGTAATTCTATATCTGTGTGACCAAATTCCTTATCAATAAACAGGCTAATCATTACTCAAGTATAATCCCACATTTAACAAGAATTTTTTTTTCCAAAGCACTAAATTTTGAGTATTTAAATTCTTCCATATTGCAAAACAGACTGAAGATAAAACAAATTAAATCATAAATAGCACTTGACTGGAAGTTAGTGGCTAAGAAGCAGCATGTGTTCATTCAGAATCTGTGGTCTTGGAACCCTTCAGGGTGATGCAAGGCAGACCTGTCTGGGTTCTAAGGATGCTGCGTGCCTCCCCCTCTCTGGCTACTTGAAAAAATAAACTGAGGAGCTGACAAGAGCCTGGGCTACTGGGGCCCCTCTCGCTACTATTCCAGTGTTTTAGATTTTAACCTCTAGCAGAGCATGGGCTGAAAACTTGCTTACTATGTGCTGTGACTGTTTAATTTTAACCTAGTCAAGGATGAATGTTTACCCAGTGCTTTCTGATAGGGACGAATGATTTCAAGTTAGTGAAAAGGACAGAGCTTGACTTCCATCCAGACGCCTGCCTGAGACCACTGCAAGGTCAGGACTGGAGGGACAAATCCAAGGCTCATGCCCCTGAGTCCTCCACCTGAGAACAGACCACATTCCACAAATTACGTATGAGGTCAGTTGTGGGAGGTTTCCATGACATGAGAAACACTCTTGTTAGGTCCCCAGAATCATCGAGAGAGGCTCTTTATCCCAGTGAGCTGCCTAGAACTGTTCACAGCACTTACATGAATTTGAAACAGTGAGAACTAAGGACGGGAAGCAGAGCATGAGATGTGATCCAAAAGTATGGTGAACATCTAATTTTTTCAAAAAATCATTACTGTAAGGGCCAGGGATTTAGCTCAGTGGCACCACACCTGCCTGGCAAATGCAAGGTCCTGAATTCGATCCCTGGTACCAGAAAAAAAATTTTATTAATGTAAAAGACACTGCCATTAGTCTCCCCCCAAAATACCACCCCCCCCAAAAAAAAAACACTTATCCCATTATGCTTCCCACTTTCTAAAGCAGTTCTGGAGTCCTCTTTCCTGAGTGTCTTCAGTTGCACTGTACTGGCTACCTCCATGTACTGAATCAATTGCCTTTCATGGTTGTGCTGTCATGTTTTCACAACCCTGCCTTCCCACTGGATGGCACCCAGCAGCAGCACTCACTGTACTTCTGATCATACCCCGTAAAGATACTCAGGAAAGAAGATGTCCAGAACTGCTTCAGAAAGTGGAAGAATGAGGGGATCAGTGTGTTTGAATTAAGGGAGCATATCCTGAGGAGACTGATACCAACATGTCTCTTACTGTAATAAACTTTTAAAAATATAAATATTCACTGTACAGTTTGATCCCCTTGTGTTTAATATAAGCAAAGGGGTGAAGTATTTTACTGATAGCCCCCCCCCCCGCACTGTATGAAGAGGCATAAGATGCCAGCTATCCTTTCTTCTAAAGGCTTCTGCCCTAATCCTGAGGCCCTACTTGCTTGCCTGCTGATTCAGTTAGGCAGCAAATCCTAGAAAATCACAATAGCTTCAAAAGAACTTTTCATGTAAAGTACTGTTGAAATACCAAAAAAGGAAGCAGAGATTTTATTGAACTTATAGGACCTGAAATACAGGACTGTCCTGTGACCACTTGATAAAGTAAGGCCCACATATATGCAAGGATTCAATCTGTCATTATAAAGTAGGTAGAGGTGACCCTCACTGTTAGAGAGTGAACATTTTTGTACCACTCAAATTCCTGTGTTGAAGCTCAAACCCCTGTTCAATGCTGTTTGGAGATGAGGCCTTTGGAAAGAAACTAGGGCTAGATGAGCTCATAAAGGTGGGCCCTCACCATGGGATTAGTGCCCTTAGAAGAAGAGACACTAGAAGTCTTGCTTGGTCTCAAAGGAAAGGTCATGTGAACCAGGGGAGAAGGCAGCCTTTGCAAGGGGAGAGCCCTCACCAGCAACTGGCCATGTGGCATCCTAATCTCAAACTTCCACAACTGTGAGAAATAAATCTCCATTTGCTTATGACACTTAGTCTATGGCATTTGTTATGACGTCCCAAGCTAGTATATTCACCTACATCCAAACTTTCTCAAAGAAATAAAAAATGAAAGTCAAAGTTTTCATAACTAAAATATTTTACTTGCTTCCTTTATTTCAAGTTTTCTTTAATACAGCTACTATAATTTATTATAGTTATAGCTAGAGTTAAATATGAACAAGCCTGTAAGTAGTCCCTTGTCTCATCCCTAAATCCACTCTCCCTTTCTTTCTTCTTCAGTAGAAGAGCCCTACACTTTAGCTAAGAACACAGCCACACAGAACAAAGACTACATCCCCCAGGGTCCTTTGCCATTGGCTGTTATTGTGCTATTTCAGCACTAGCCAATGGACCCAAGTGCATGTCTAATATCCAGTGTGCACTCCTGAAGAGATGCTTGTGGCCTTCTTGCTAAATTCCTTCCTGCTAGCCACTTGCTGTACACACTGGGCAGAGTCAGAGCACCCATCACAGGCCATAAAGTAAAGGCTCACATTGAGGATGAAGAGAAAAATAGCTAAGATGTTACACTACCCTGGGTGCTTCGTGTTTAAGAGAGAGATAAACATCTATCTTCTTTAAGTGTTTGTTATTTTTTATAAACCACTATCACTTTCAGCTTAGCCTACAGATAACTAGCACAATAAATAACATTTGTTAACAGTAATTTTTTTTTTTTTTACATAAACCAAGAATAGTATTTCAGAAAACCTTCTTACCAGGGAAGTTCAGTCAATCCTCCTTGCACAGCAATAGCAGACTTAACTCTATTTGCAAACTGGACAGCATCTTCTCCTTCCTGGTTAAAAAAGGAATTAATTATACATTAGGGATACAGAATTTTTTTTTTTGATACAGAATTTTTTTTAAAAACTTGAAAGGTTTCATTATCATTTATATTTGTTTTAAAATATGATTCAAATTTTAGTCCAAATGCTTTCTATTCTCAATCATAAGAAATATCACTTCTCCTATCAAGAAAATGCAGTGTTGTATTGATTTTTTTTTATCATAAGCCTATCTTCATTATGCTCTTTATTAATCTTGCTCAGGCACAATGTTCCACAGTATCTGTAGGTTCAAGAAACCAAGAACAATTGTAAGACTATGATGGAAAATAGTCTCTCAATATAAAACGTCCTGATTTGAACAGCACTGTATACATTATTTAAAAAATAATTATCTGTTGAGAAAGCAGAAGGGCAGGATGTGAAGAAGGGAGAGGCCCAGATTTCTAGTTCCAGGGTTACAGCACAAAGCCCAGGTGAGATCTGAGGAATACCTCTCTGGTCATGGGTGGCATGTACCACACATCACAGACAATGGCCCAGCTGGTCATCATGCGAAGCAGGTAGCTCACCATGTTATATTTACTACTGTTCCAAAAGGCATCACCGAACTGGGGGTTATACTGAGAAAAAGAAAAGAAAAATACTTCTGGTCAGGTACCAAGTGGTGGCTCCTTTCACAAGCTCTGTCAGACCCCAAAAGAAGACAAATGGCTTCACTTCTTTTTGACAGAATTGATCACAAAAAGTAAATTAGGCCAGCTAACTCCTCTAACTAGTAACAACTGCTTTTCTAAATAGATCCCCAGAGCATTGCAATATGAGGGTTATTTATGCAACTAGTAAATATCTGTCTACAAATAACTAGAAGGCCAGTACTGGAAAGGAGGGACAGTAAGTGTTTTGCTTATGACTACATTCTTACTACTTAATATAACCAACCCCTGGTATACAACCACCCACTACTTGAAGGAGAGGGAAAGAGAGGGGAGAAAGAGAAAGAATGAAAAAGCAAATGGGCCAAAACATAAAGAACTAGTACAGCATCTGAATAGAGCATGCAAGTGTCCCTCATTCCTGCAAATTTTAAATTTATAATTACAACAAAAATATCATCACCAATCCAGTGCCTTTTAAAAATGTTTTACCTTAATTGCAACAGGGTGTATGGTTCCTCCAATCTCAAAGCTTCCCTTTTTAAACATCATGACTGAAGTATTGTTGATGCAGGTCCCTGAAGGGAACAGAAGTAGGGGAGCAAGTCATTTTTTTTTTATTTAAAAAGAAATCACTTTTGTAAAATAATGTAAAATAGAAAAATTAAGGCATTTTACTACCATTTCACAAATTAAATCTTGCTCAAGGAGCAATACAATAATTCTAAACAAATTTAGTAACAAACTGCACTCTACTACTAAACACTTTATGGGAATAATTTTGTCAAAACAGATGACAATATATTTACAATACAACCTTTAAAAAGCCACAGACAATACCTTTCTAAGTTCATTACTCAAAAATGACTTAAAATCAAAAAGGTACCATGATGTCCATCAAATCTCAATAGTGAACAGGAAATTAATCGCTCAGAGAAGGTTCCAATTGTCCTGTCCCATTTCTACAGGACAGGAGAGACCTGGACCAAGAAGGCTAGCCCCATAGCCACTCTACTCTACTCGCATTTGGTGCGGGGGGGGGGGGGTACTGGGGATCAAACTCAGGACGGTGAGCTTGTGAGGCAGGCGGCAGAACCATTGAGCTAAATCCCCAGCCCTCCACTAGCTTTCAATGATTTGCTGTTTGTGCTACCTCTCAGTGGGCAGTGGTTTCCATTCTTACCTTCAGGGAAGATTAATATGGGTAATTTTTTCTTATCAGCAATATGTTCTTTTAGTCTGTGAAGGAAAATGCATCAAAACTTTATTTAAAAAAAAAAATGGACTGCAGTCCTTTCTCATATTCCTTATACTCAACGAGCACAAATACAACTGCAAAGCAATAAGGAGAGAAGCAGCGAGAGATAAGTGAGGGAAGTAAACTCAAGTTGTCTCCTTTCTTTGAAAGGAAAGAGATCTGCACTCTTTCAATTGCTCTAATTTGAAAGTGACTTTCAGTGTCTTCAGCTTACTCTTACAAAGCATCCTAGCCAACCAAGTGACCTGAGCTCCCGACCAACACACGTGAGCTTTGTGTCCCTTGCCATGTGCTTGTACAGTACTTCCTCATCTGAGGCATGCGGGCATTCAATGTTGCACCTGTCTGTGTTCTGGCCAGTGAGCAGGAGAGTCCTTAAGTGAGTCAGGATGAACTGCCCAGAAAACACACCAGACAGTCAGGAAGAAACTTTTCTTCAGGGCCAGTGAGATAGGAGATGGGGTGTGGCTTAGACTGGCTGGAAAGAGAGGTGTGGAGGGATCCCATGATCTACACAATGCAATCTCTTAGGACTCAGTATGTAGAACTTCTTATGGGTTCCCACGAGATATGGATGGCATAAAGAGACCAGGTAGACACCACAAGGGAGACATTGTCGTGACCCTTCACAGTAGCCCACCCTGTGTCTTCCACTCCCAGGGAGTACTTTTATTGCTTCTCTTTTCCTCTCTTTTTCAGCCCAAGTTTGCTCTGCAGAGCCCGTTTCTCCCTCACTTCCACTTTTCAAATAAACTTTTGGCAACGTTTTTGGCTTATCTCATTCAATTCTTTGTTCAAGATGAGAAGAACCTGGAATATGTTTAATTGGTGAGCCACTTCTAAAAGAAGCTATTGATAACACTAAGGCCTGTTCTCCTTGTGGCTAGACCCAACTGCAACTCACTGCTCACCGGAAGTTGGTAAAGTAATAGATGGCAGCTGCCAGAGTATCCCACTGCTAAGTAATCTCAAGAGAGGGAACAGAGTCCAACCTGAAGCAGATTTCAACAAGTACTTTTCTGGGAGCTGAGCCAAGAGGATCTCAAGTTTGAGCCCAAACTGGGCATCTTAGCAACTTAGTGAGACTCTGTCTCAAAAGAAAAAAAAAGAAAGAAAGAAAAGAAAAAGGACTAGAAATGAAGCTCAGTCCAAAGGCCGTGGGTTCAATTCCTAGAATGCAAAAATAAAAAATAAAATAAACAAACAAATAAATAAATAAAATAGCCTGGGCTACCATGTATTTATAGAAACAATGACCAGAGTGCCTCCAGTTAAAGCAAAGCAAAAAGCTGTTTCTCAGCAGAAGTCCCTGGTAGCTCACCTCTTCCCAAGCCCTGATGTTCCTCCTCCTCCCTTTCCATAGAAATCTGCTATAGCATGGGTGTGTGTTCCCGACAGGCCAGGTGTCAGAGGCTTGTTGTGGGGGCCAACTGGAAGTTCAGCCACTAGAGGCTGCAACTGAGAGTCTTATTGAAACCCTGGGTCCCCTGCTCTCCTGCTTCCTGGCCCCCATGAAGTGAATAGGGCCCCTGCCATAATGCACTGTGCCAAGCAGCCTTCTGAACTGCACTAGACATGGACTGAAACCTCTGAAACCAGGAGCCAGGAGAGAAAGCCCCTTCTTTTAGTAAGCAATTGTCTCCAGTATTTTGTCATGGAGACAGAAAGCTGACTGACACAAGATTATGAGCTCTGGCTGCAGCTGGACTTTAATGACAGTGGTTATTCAGCTGAGCTTAATCAAACATCTATTTATTCAGCAAAGAGTTATCAAATTATTCAGCCTCCAACATGACAACTTTGAAAGTCCACTGTCTGAACTACACCTAAGCCACAGCAATGTAGATTCTATGAGCCTTCTAATCTCTTCATGTATCCCACTGTGAGTACAGAACTCTTTAAAATCTTGCTGAGTGACTCTTCAGAAAAAAAATCTAACTATAACTAGCACTCTGTATGTTCTGGTTTTATTGTGTAACAGGGCCCTGCCCGCTCTGGCCAAAGGCCCAAATTTATCAGCTTCCATGCTAGCTCAATGAATACTTGGTAACCTCAGTCCTACCTCTTTGTAACCAGGTGCCGATCCTTCATTTCTGAGCGCTCAAACCAGACATGAGGACACGCCTTGACCATGGCTCTCTGAATAATTCCCATCAGGCCACCATGAACCTGGCCAACCTAGAAGAACCAGGAGAAAAAGAGAAAAATGTAAAAGCACAGCAACCCAAAAAAGGCTTTTTAAAAAAAGTAACAGTTTGGGCCAGGGATTTAGCTAGTGGTTCTGCAGCCTGCCTCGCAAGCACAAGGTCCTGAGTTTGATCCCTAGTACCAAAAAAAAGTAAGTTAATTCCTATACCCACCTGGAGATAAGACTGGCTTCCTTCTAAAGACTTAAATCCTAAGTCTGACCAAAGGACTTGAAAGGCTAAATGTAAGCAAATGGTGCTCTTTAGTAGCACCATTGAGCTTTAGCTTCCATGGGCACACAAACTACTCACTAACTTTAAAAACTAGAAGCACTTCAACTTAGTCAAGATTAGAATAATGCAAATTAAAACTACACTGAAATGCCATTTCAAACCCATCACATTCACAGCTATTTATCGGTTTGACAATACACCCAGATTCAAGGCCACTGGAGATAGGCCCTTTCACACACCGCTTGAGGAAAAGGAGAGAGGATCATAATACCAGCGGAAGGAAATTGGCAACATCTAGTAAGATCATATATGCACCTATCCCTCATTTCAATAATTTCCCTTCTAGGAATTTACCCTGAAGATATACCTTCAACAAAATATATGCAAATATATACACACAAGGTTATTAACCATTGTTGTACTTATCATTGTAAAATATTAGAAACTATGTAAATGGACAAATACAGGGAAGTGAATGAATAAGGTACATACTACAGTGGAATGCTATTCAGCAAGATTTATCTCTATGACTGATAAAGAGCGACTTGCTGGAGAAGGTAAGTGAAAAAGGCCAAAGAACAAATAAGGATCTTACCTTGTAGGTAAGACTAAAGGGGAAGTAACACATATGCATTTGCTTATTTCTACAAAAAGAAATATAGAAAGGATAAACCAAATCACTGAAGTTGGGAACCTACAAGAACAAAAAGGAACAGGGTAGACTGGACATGGGAGTGGCATTTCCATGAGTATACTTTTTTTGATTTGGAAGCATGTGAATCATCTACATATTCAAAAAGTAAAATTAAAACCACCAGGATGACAATAAACTAAAAGTGAGCTGAAGTGAACCCAACTGTATCTCAAATATAAGAACAAGTCTGAAGGAAGAGCAGAAAATCCAAGAAACTTACAAACACTGTGTCTGACCACACACCATCTTGGATAAGACAGCAAAAACTGCAAAACACCCTGAACTTGGGTTTTCTGTTTGTTTGTAGTACTGGGTACTGAACCCAGGCTTTGCACTAAGCTACATCCCATCCCTTTTTTATTTTTCATTTTAGACAGAATCTCACTAAGTCACTAAGTTGCCCAGATGAAGCTTAAACTTATAATCCTCCAGCTTCAGCCTTCTAGGGTGCCAAGTTTACAGGTGTGCACCACCTTGCCTGACTTGCATTTGTTTTTTAAATATTAAACAGGTGAAGCAACTCTGAAACAATTTAGATGTATTACAAGATTGAGAAAATGAGTATACTGATATCATTTGGGAAATAGGCTTTTCGTTGTGAAAAAAGATAAGATATATGGGGCCGGGGATTTAGCTCAGTGGTTCTGTCGCCTGCCTCGCAAGTGCAAGGACCTGAGTTCAATCCCCAGTACCAAAAAAAAAAAAGATAAGATATAAACATTGACTCAGGGAAACTAAGAAAAAACCCTACTGAACCAAGGATTTAGCTCAGTGGCACCACGTCTGCCTCACAAGTGCAAGGTCCTAAGTTTGATCCCTGATACCAAAAAAAAGAAAAGAAAGAACCCTACTAACTGGATGTATTGGTATAATTCAGATCTCCAATATAAACATTAAATATAAATATATTAAAAATACAAATGTGTTACACACAGTTTTATGTAGAGAGACAAAAAGAACCAGCACAAGAACACAAGCCATAAAGAAAATGAGGCAACACAATACCAACAGGTGAGCCCGGAAAACGGGGTGTGGATGTCTTATGGAATATTCTCCTTATTACAGCTTGAAAACATTTCTAAACTTTAAAAATGAAGACCACCAGACCAGACTGCCCATTACTACAGAGTACCAGGGAAATAAAACTCATGTGCTCCCCTTGAAGCCCAACCCACCAAAATGAGAACAGGAAAAGACCCCCAGGACCCTGTCCAATCTCTGTACCCACAGACCCACATGGGACACAGAGCCACTGTGCAGGAAAGGACACCTTCCATTATTGTCCAGAATTCACTGACACTTAAAGGAGAAACGGGAAATCTTGGCAAATACATCAGAGCAATAAAAAGCAGAAATTTAAAAAACAATGCCAGAATGTGGTTCCTGCTTTGGAGGTTTGCTTTTACTGTAGGCTTTAGGGTTTGTTGGTTTTGTTTGCTTTTCTTTATTTTTGAGGCTGTTAGCAAGGCATCAATATCTGCCTTTCTTCCCAAAGCCTCATTAAAGAGCCAGATGTTTTTCACTGTGTGTCTCTCTCTGAAGGAAGAGAGAATAATGGACAGGCAGGGGATCTGTGTTGCTCTAAGGAGGAAGGTTCTAATCTTGCAAAGTGTAATTAAATATTGGCAGGGATTTTAAAAGCAAAAATGGAATCAATTTTACAAAGCACCATCAATTCTAGTGTGTCTACATTTCAGTAAGTTAATTTTTTACTGCCATATATAATGGCAATTTTAATTTCCCTACTTGCTTCTCACATAAATATATTACATAACTCACATAGCTACAACAGTATAACCTAAATTTCTTTCTTTCTTTCTTTCTTTCTTTCTTTCTTTCTTTCTTTTTGGTACCAGGGATCGAAATTGACCTTGCACTTGTGAGGCAGGTGGTGGGGAACCACTGAGCTAAATCCCCAGCCCTATAACTTAAATTTCTAATATGAAACTTTCTGAATAGTCAAGATACGTTAAAATTTGAGCAATTCATAAAACACACAATTGCTCAAACTATCAATGAGCCATTCTTACCATCGCATAGCATCCATCTGTTGTCAAGATCAAAACATCGATCGGAGAAGTGTGGTTGGCAACACAAATGCCTCCCTTCTGGGGCCGGTACTGCCTGCAATCACAAACAATGACAAAAACAAAATCTTGTTCAGTGGCCCTGGGATGGAAAATAGTTTGCTCATCTCTGCCCCTGAGCTAAACCAGAACTTGACACCAATAAAGCAAAATAGCTTTGCTTGGGCCCACATAGTGAAGCGGCCCAAGTTCACAACAGCTTGAGCATATTCTCCTTGAAACCAGAAGTATTTCTCTAGTAAGTTATGAACTCCTCTATCTACTTTATCCCAATAAAGTGTTTTCTCTACACACTTCTGCTGATCACCTTCTACTCTATTTCAGAACTCATAGTCCAACAGCAAAACCATGATTTAAAAATTTTAAGGGTCCTTTTAAGTTGTTAACACATGGTGAAGCCAAAGGATAAAAATGTTTCCCTTATACAAATGAGACAGAAAGACCCACTCAGCAAAAAAGAAATATTTTTCCTAGACCTTTTTCTTGACTTTTTTTTTTGGTATCGGCGATCGAACTCGGGATCTTATGCTTGCAAGGCAGGCAGCGGCACCGCTAAGCTAAATCACCAGCCCTTTCTTGGGTTTTTTTGAGACAAGGTCTCACTATATAGTTCAGGCTGATCTTGAACTCACTATGTAGACCAAGATGGCCTCGAACTCATGGTGATCTTCCTGCCTCAGCCTCCCAAGTGCTGTAATTGATGCTTGGCTTCCTAGAACTTTTTTTTTTAATTTTAAAATGTATAACTTCATTATCAAACACACACATATACAAAAATTAAAATTATTCAAAGAAAAACAATGCAAAGGGGAAAAAAACTATAATAATATTCAAATATAGTAGAACTCAACCAAAACAAAACTGAAAAGTACTTAAATATTTTTCCAAATAATTTTAAAACAATCTCAAGCATTAACAAGACATCAGAGGATGTGATTTGTTTTAAAAAGATTTTCAAAACTAACATTGAACAAATAGTGGTCTGGAAAAAAAAAATTCTGGTTAGCGAGTAGACTCCACATAGGCCAATTTTTTTTTTAATTTAAATTTCAATACAGTCACATGAAATGTGATGGAAATATAATCTGAGAAATATGTTATTAGGCAATTTCATCTATGTGTATCACAAAATACCACACAGAGTGCTGACTTCTAAGTGCAAACTGAAAAAGTATATGTCAATCATCTGTGATAGCCCCTTGGTATTATCCAAATAGGCAGTTAAACACGAGATACATGAGGCTACCACTGGCATAGCAGCACACTGTTTTACAGTAAACTCTTTTATATAAGTAGGATTATGCTTTAAAGGATGAAAAGCACAGCATGTTATGATAAGTACCTAAAACAGTAACAGTCATTTATCACACTATCCAGTACTGTGTACTGTACATAGTTGTATGTGCTTCTTCTGGAAACACACCCTTCTCTCCTTTGATCTCAGTGACTCTTCCTTCCCAACCCACTGATGAGCTCCAGCCTAGTCTCTAGCTACATCTCTTCCTGTAATTTTAGACACAATCTATATATGGATTCTTTCCCGATTCCAGCCTGTAACTCTGACCTCTCCCCTTCCCCTCCTGCCACCCCTACCCCTTTGAACCTTTTCTTCCTAATTCAGATTACCAATTATTCATTTTAGTCATTTTAATCCTTATTTGCACTTTCAGTTTCTCACACTAGAGAAACTATTTGGTATTTACACACGTGTGTCCTATTTATTTCACTTATGAGTATGGCCTCAATATGCATCCATTTAGCTGTAAATGTCTCTAGTTTCTAGTTCTTTATGGCTCAGTACTTCTTTATCCAGTCTCCAGTTGATGGGCACTTGGGCTGTTTCCAAGCTTTAGCTATTATTCTAGAACTTTTTTTTTTTTTTGGTACCGGAGATTGAACTCGGGAACTTGCACTTGCAAGGCAGGCGCTGGAACCACTGAGCTAAATCCCCAGCCCCTATCCTGGAAATTTTAAAACAATGGTATTTTTAAAAAATAAAATAAAATTGAATTAACAGGAAAGAAATTCGAGCAGGTGCAGTGGTACACAACTATAATCCCAGCACTGGCAAAGCTGTGGCAGGAGGATTGCAGCAAGTCCGAGGCCAGCCTGAACTACATAGTGATACCCTGTCCCAAAAATAAAAAAACAAACAAACAAAAGTAATTCAAAAGAAACTAAAATCAATTTCATGCCTAATATAGTACTTTCCTTAACTACCTTTATTCTCTCTATTCAGGGGTGAGAAAAGTAGAATTCTACAGATCTGTTTTGAAATTTTAGAAGTGCCAAGGGTGAAATTAGAAAGCTGGCCCCACGCGGCCTGCCTCACAAGCACAAAGACCTGAGTTCGATCCCCGGTACAAAAAAAAAAAAATCTGTAGTAATTACAACATGAGAGCTGGGCAGGGTGGCCACACCTGTAATCCCAGTACTTGGGAGGCTGAGGCAGGAAGATCAATGTGAGTTCAAGGCCAGCCTGGCCTACCCGTAAGTTCAAGGCCAGCCTGAACCGCATAGTGAGACCCTGTCTCAAAAAACAAAACAAACGTGTAAATTACAACATGTTAGGATTAGGGATTCCCATTTCCTTTTCTTGCAGGTTTCAAATTTCCAAGCTGTTAAGTGAATTTGTGGACCAAATTTCAAAGGAACTTTTTATGTAGTCAGTTCTTGCATAAGTTATTTGGTAAACAAACTCAGAAAATAAATTGCTAGCAATGTTTTAATATTTATCAAATAACTGACCATTTCCTAGAGAAAGATAAAACTTCTACAGCTTGTACAAAGTTGTATGATAGGCCATAGTCTGCTTCCAACGTTTGGGTTGGGCACACAAGGGACTCAGAGCCTGACAGAATTGTCAGCTTTATTATAACTTAATCTGAGGGTGTGGGACAAGGATCACAACTACCGTTGTGTTCCTTATGCTCTGTTATATGGCGTTATTCATGATTAAACTGATTGACACAATTCATAGCAATAGAACCTTGAAATGCATGTGCTAGATTTATGCTGAAAGGATTCAACTCTCACGTTAGCAACGATTCAGGTTTTGTGTTTGTTTCCTAAACTAATTCAGGGTTAGGGTAAAATTAGAAAAAGAAATTTAATTGTTCAAGTGCCCATTTGTATTTTATTTTCTGGAATACTTTCTTCATAGTTACTTGTTTAAAAATATTTTTAAAAATCATTGCACTTTGGTCAGAAAAATAATAAATATATCTTATAAATGTTAAAAAAAAAAAGAAAAAAAAGAAAGCTGGCCCCAGACCTCACCACACTACAGGGCCGTGAACTTCATTTTCAAATCAGGCAGCTGCAATCCTGACTTTGCACCCGCTTTCTGTGTGACCCTACACAGCGGGCAGGCGGTCATCAGGGTGAGGCAGACTGAGCGACATCATGAGACTCTATTTCAAAATACCCAAAGAAATACAGTGATAGCTCAGTTGTCCAATTCAATTCATTCCAAATCTGTGTTTGAACACAGAAAAGTTGGAGAACTGAACATGTTTTTCCCTTAAGAAATAACAGAAAACCAGATAATTGGTTCTGAGGCCCAAAATTACACTTACAAATTCATTTTTCCAGGACTTTAACAAATTTCTTTAACTCTATTGTGGTTCTCAGTTTTTCTCTTAGCTTTACTGCTGGTATCACTAGCTTTCTTTGGAGCCATGGTTATGATATTTTATACACACACACACACACACACACACAAAGCACAATGAGGACAGTTTTAATGCACTAACAAAGCATGGTGTATTGTCAGGGTGAGAGCGGCGCTTAGGCGGAAGTGTCACCCCTTTGGATCCACCATGAGAGACCACTGCTGACTCACTCTCAGCCCCTTCAGGTTTTTTCAGATCAGATTTCCAGTTCGACTGTCCAGAAAAGTCACAAACACCTGCCAGATTTTTTCAACTTTGCTATTCAAGTAGTGCAAAGTTCGACAATAGAGGTACTGTATCACTGTACAATATATTTAATAAAGTAAGGATGCACACAGGGGAAGTACTGAGATCACCTCAATGCTCTGAGTCCAAGGGTTTCCCTAGAAAGAGGAAGGCAGGGCAGGTGGGGCCCAGACACTCACTTGTTATGGTAATGAATGGTACCAGAGAGGGACCGAACACAGATCCGGCAGCAAGTCAGGTGCACCACTTCACTCAGCCAGTTCTTGAGGCTGCAAGAGAAAGAAGCCATTTTACAGTGCAGTTCTGAGCACACCTGTGAGACATACAATCGAAGCCTGATGTTTCAGTCACAATAGCATCCTGTGTTGTGTTCTACTGAGCAAGCACAGTTAGATTCCTGGTCTCATCAACCTGTGTGGTACTAGACAGCAAACACTTGCCAAGGGCACTGGACAGGACTCTAAGGGAAGCAGCCCCCGCTCTGCTGCTACTCGCTGACACACTCCTGACCAACATGAGCTTGTGTGTCTTTGATCTTGGCCTTCTGAGCCTACCAATACATAAGACTACTTCTTTCCTTTGGATTCCTTGGTCCATTTATTTTTCTCTTCATTTCCCTTTTGAAAAAAACAACTTCTTTCAATTTTTATGGAAGTATGATGGAAAAGCAAAGACCATGAAGATGAAGTGAATAGAGTTCTAATAAGTGAGTTAAGACCATACATTTAATATAATATGTAGATTAAAAGTATATATATAATATGTAGAAAATAAGTACTCTATGAAACAGAGATTTAATGCAATATGTAGGAATGAAGGCAAGTGTAAAAACTAAATAAATATTCTTTTTGCTAGGAAAAAGAACACCCTACTTATGGGTGGACAGAGAGCCATTTTACCTGCTGTCTGGCAGCTGCCCAACCAAGGTCGTCCCTACAACCAGCAGACTGATCCCAATGAAAGCAAGGGTAACCCTGAAAAAGAAAAGAGAAAGTCATGCAAAAATTTGTTGACTAGGATGGAAATAATCTAAAGAGAAACAACCTAAAGAGTCCTACATAATTAAAGTGTACACTTTACTTATGTAAAGTTGCAAAAGATCCATCTTATGAAATATGATATAGCTATTAAAAGATTTGGTAAATCTATAGATTCTTTGCTTGTGTGTGTGTGTTTTGTTTTTGTTTTTTTGAGACTAGGTCTTGCTATGTGGTTCAGGCTGGCCTTGAACTCAACTATGTACCCCAGGCTGGCCTCAAAATCATGGCAATCCTCCTGCCTCAACCTCCCAAGTCCTGGGATTACAGGTGTGTCACCATACTCAGCTAGCACAGTCTTTTTTAAATGCCCACTTTGTAACATTTGCTTCTTTTACAAATCATTTACCAAGCATTTCTTCACGCTGAAGACTATATACTAAGAATAGGAGACTTCGTTCTGTATTTTCTCTTTGTTCTTGGATGCTTCATACTGGATTCTATAAAATCTGTTGTTGATTTGCACTAATCATTCTGTCACTTGACTCTTTAGTGAGCATTAGTTTACTGAAATGAGCTAAGACAATCAACTTCCTGGTGACAGCTAACCAAGGACAAGTGCAGGCCCCTCCAGCTCTCTGTGCTGCTCACCTTTCTCCCATCATCCTGGAGATGCTGCCCGACCAAGGACCAGGAGAAGATGCAAGAGTGAATCCATATTAAGTTTTAGTAAAGTTTTGTTTCTTTTCAAGAATAAAAACAGGAGGCCAGGGATTTAGCTCAGTGGTTCCACCATCTGCCTCGAAAGCGCAAGGTTCTGAGTTCGATCCCCGGTAACAAAAAAAAAGAATAAAAACAGGAGCTTATAAAAGCTCTCATCTTTCTTTCCAGCATGCCAATGGCAAGTCATGGGCATCCCCAGAGCATAAGAACCCCACCTCGGGGACACTGGCTTAAGGTTCAAGCAAAAGTATATGAAACCCTAAATTTTACTTAGTTATCACAGCTGAAGCAATTCCCCAAAGACACTGTGCTGCAATGTCAGGACACTGGCAACCCAAGGCAAAGGAAACAGGAGATCTGTATCTGCCTCTTCTTAAGCAATGTCTTCCTGATAATAAATCTGAATGAGATGAGTATAAGCCACCCTGGGGACAGTAACAAGACTTCAACTCAGGCCAGGATTAGCTGACTGGCGGCAACTGCCTGGAAAAGCTCTGTTAGAGGAGGCCAAGCCCAAGTTCAGGGAAATGAAGCAAGATGATCAGCAGAAAGGCCATGGCCAGTACCTTCCCTTCTCCCTGCATCACCATGTCAACAGATCTCGGCCACTGTGCCTTCACCCCACTGCCGGGGGTCTTCTACTCTGATGACCCCCACTGGGCTTCTAGTAAACTGTGCTCAAGGTTCCCCCTCCTCATGCACCACTCCAGCCTAAAAGCAGAGGGGGGCCCACCTGGGGAACTTTCCTAAGGAGAGGAATTGTGGAACCGGAGAACAACTTGGGAAATGTGGAATTATCAAGCCTATCTCCTTTTCTTCTTTGTAAGTTCCCTTTCCTATCCATCCTCAAATTAGGAGTGTAACACAAAGTGGATCTAGATTGTAAGATAAACACTGAATTCTGAATATATACCTTCATCGGGAGAAACCAGTGACCGGAGGATAGATACTGCATTACCCCAGGGGCCGCATTTGGGGGTGTTTCCTATGTGGAAGGTGTGGAAAGTCACGGCTGAGCTCAACTGTGACCACTGCACACAGGTCAAGTTACCAGGTAGGTGACTCACCTCAGAGGTAGTAGGACACAATAGCGGACTATGACACCCAGCACCCACACCATGGTGAGCCGAGGACTGATGTAGTGGAAATTGGTATTGGTTCTAGTAAGGAGATTCCATGACTCTAGCTCCTCTGAGGAGAACCTCTGGGTCACTTCATCCTCCACAATGGCTTCCAATCCCTTCTTGGAGAAATAAAACACGTCAGAGAGCTCAAAGTCCCTTCCTCGAAGACCAGAGAGCCCTTTTTCCATGGGTGACTCATCTCTTTGGATAATACCTTAAAAGAAAGCATCAGGACATGAGAAAATGTCATAGGACAGGACAGCGCACCAAAGGGGCAACTTTGCGTAGTTTACAGAAAGTAAGTATAGGAAGGGCCGTGGATTTAGCTCAGTGGTTTTGCTGCCTGCGGCACTAGCACAAAGACCCAAGTTTGATCCCCAGTACCCAAAAAAAAACACAGAAAGTAAAATAAAAAAAAAAATTTAAAAATTTAAAAATTTTTTTTAAAAAAACCACACAGAAAGTAAGTATAGGTGACATACAGACTTCAAAACTAAGGAACCAATAACTGCAGCCAGAAGAGAGGTGATGTCATTGAAATGGCTTATATCCAGTGATTTCAATTAATCATGGAGGAAGTTTGGTTCTCTACAACCTCCCTGTTTGGATTTCCTCCCCAAAAACTATTATCAAAAGAAGTCATGGAAAATAAAAACTCTCTCCAGATACAGATCTGAACTGTGTAATGATAAAGATTTCTATGCTTGCCTGGTAAAGGCCATAAAGTCAAAAGGCAAGCAAAATGGCAAAAGATACTTACCACAAATGACAATGGTTGAGGTCATATATGTTTTTTGGGGTTTTGGGGAGTACTGGAACCCAGAACCTTCACAATGAGCTTACATCCCAGCCCTTTCTTTATTTTTTATTTTGAGGCAAGGTCTCAATAAATTACTAAGTTGCCCAGACTGGGCTTGACCTTAAAATTCTTCTGCCTTCGCTTCTCAGAGTACTGGGATTACTACAAAAATTATTCAATAGAAAAACACAAGCTGTTGCACAAAAGTAAGCAAGTTCATGAACTGAATTCATAGAAGTAATATAAATGGTTAATAAATATATCAGAACTTCAGTGTGGTGGTACATGCCTATTACAGCACTCAGGAAGCTAAGCCAGGAAGGGACCACCATGAGTTCAAGGCCACAGAGTGAGTTCAAAGCCAACCTGAACCACATAGCAAGACTCTGTCTCAAAAATGAACAAAAAACAAAACAAATACATCAGAATTTTTTTACTCATAATCAAAGAAATGTGAATGAGACAAAGTTGACCTACTTATGTTATCAAATAAACAGCTAAGTTAGGTAGAAATATTACAGGCAGTCAGATAGGGCTAGGCCCTTGAGGGGGTCAGTGCAGAAGATGAGAACACATTATAACTGTGGCTAGAGGTGCATCTGTCAAAATAAAGATGGAATGACCAGGTCTACATGCTAATCCTGAGGGATAAGCAATAAATTGAAGATTATACTATAATTGGTATCACCTGGTCCAATAAAGTCTAGATAGACATCAGTCAGCCAGGTGGATGATCAGGACCTCCTGATTCATCCCATCCCTTTCTAAAAAATGTCTGTTCTTTCCATGAACCCTTGCTATGTGATCCTCTTCCCCATTGGATCAATATTACCTAATTGGCTATATTTGTAATCTTATTGGTTGATCCTAGTTTTGACTCATGTTGTACCCACCTGGTGATTTTGCTCTATAAAACTTTCTCTGTGAATTGGGATCCATGGCAACCCACTTTTGGGCCCCCTCCTATCTCTAAGGAGCTATCTCTCCCAATAAATTTTTCCTATTCTTAACCTCTGTTGTTCCTTAGAATTCATTCTTCGATTTCAGGAAACACAAACTGGGCCTATCTGGCATCTAGCAGGTTGAGAGTTACATCAGCGATACTTTTGTTTCATGAAGAGTTCAGTGACTAAAATGATACAGGTACTCTCATATGCCACTTGTAGGAGTGTGGAATGAACCACTAGCAACTGTTTTCAAAACTCATCTGTCATGAAAAGACTAAAAATTTTAGTCTCTAAAAATGTTTTATGATCAATAATTCCAATTTTAGACCTCTGTCATAAGAAATGCAGGGAAGTGCTCACTGCACCATGCTACGTTATAATGAAACACACACTGTGTACATTAGTAAATAATGTTAAGTGAAAGACACAATCTTAAACTGTAGTTTAACTCTGTGAACTACGTATACACAGGAAAAAGGTCAAGAAGAAAACATTAAGTTATCTTTGAGCAATGGGGCTACGTTTTCTTCTCCATACTGATAATTATATTTTCCATAAAGAAAATAACTCAAAGAATTTTAAAGGAGTATAATTTTTTTGTAAATTGAAAAATGACTACTGCCACCCAGTTCTAACTACTCAATATCAATAATAAAGGAGGTCTTAAAAGAATAAAGAACAGCTAGATACACAATCCATAATAGACTATTTGTTCCTCTGGGGTGTGCTACAAAGGAATTTACTTCTTAAATCAAGCTAAGACAAATAGCTTTCCTTTTGAAGTGGAGATGAAGGTGTTAAATCCCTGAAGGAAGATCTTTGATTTTCTTTCCAGTTTACCGAGAAATCAGTGGAAAGTTGAGAATTCTGCTGTATCATTGATTCCCACAACTGATAACTGATCAACTGGAAGAGATGGAATATTCTCTCTCTCTTTCTCTTTTTGGTTTTTGGTGCCCAGAAAGAGAAAGGAAAGCCGACTTGGAGTTGACAATCAAGTTTTATCACTTCTCAGCCTTTAAGCTAAAATCAAGTGAAAGTCAAGTTCTGTTTAGGACAACTGAGTCAGGAAATTGGGGCATGGCCCAGCGGTTGAGCAAGTGGATGTGACCTGTCAATCACAGAGATCCAGGACACAAGCGCAGAAAAAGAGTTCCCAAGCCCTGGATTTGGGACAAATCAGAAAACGCTATCTTCGATTTTTTTCTGATGAGAAATCAAGCAGATTTTTTTTTTTCCAGTACCGGGGTTCTAACTCGGGTCCTTGAGCTTGCTAGGCAGGTGGCGAAACCACTGAGCTAAATCCCCGGCCCTCAAGCAGATTTTTGATAGGACAGCCTAGATCTGACGGCATCCTGAGCAATGGCTAGTACACATGACCCGTCATTAACCTCCTAGTTAATGTGCTCTTTCTCAGTGTCCCACACTCAATCTACAGAGTATGCATATTTCTTTTCCTCCATTTAATAAATGCAAAACCTTTCAATTCTTTGTTCAGGACAAGAATCTGGAAAGAGCCCACAGTGCACCCGCACCACACCAGCTAACACAGATGACACAAGTAACACAGCCACCAGCTCCATAATTGGTGTGCTATAAAATGGAGTGGGAAATTTTTTAGTTTCCACACAGAGTTAATATTTTCTGGTTTCAGGTTTGGGTTTTATTTTGTTTTGGTGTATGTGTGTGTTTTTTGTATGTGTGCTCCACACGCAACACTAATATCTACCTTAAGAATTACAGCAATAAAGGAAGTTTTTGAATTATCGTTAGGACCTTTTCCAGGAGTCAGTTTCAAGCAATTTAACCTTCCTTCACCTGTGGCCTAATTAGGTTATCAAATCAGTAGGAATTGGGTTAGAGGATGGACCAAGATAGTATCCCTACTGAATTACCCTCTTACTCTCCTCCCATTGCATTGCCACTTGGGCCAATTACTCAACCCAAGTACCATACTGGCCAACACTTAGCAGTGCAAGAGTTTCATTATTGAGCAATATACAGATTCTTTTGTAATGTCTACAGGAGGAAGGAAGTACAAGTTAGAGTAATTCTCTGAATGAAATACTCTAGGGATAATGGCTAGACCTTCTAAACATACTGTTTTTCTGAAAGTCAAACATAAGAATGCAACTTTAAGTTGCCTCAATGTGTAACAAAGCCTAGAAAAATGTGCACCCAGAAATCAGGCCCTAGCCCCTGTGTACTTGTGCAATATTTTCTCTGCCTGTCCCTACCTCGTTTATTCTGTGTAATTCAAATAAAATATAACAGTTTAGTTTAGCATCTTTCAAAAGTATGTGAACAACATCCAGTTGACAAAGGATGAATTTCCAGAAAATATTAAGACATAATAAAAATTAGTAGGGAAGAAAAATCAAAGAACTCGATTTTTTTAAATTGGCTAAAAGTATGGCAAGCAGTTCATAAGAGTAAGCCTCAATGACTAACATTCAAAAAGATGTTCAGCCTCACTATAATTAGAGAAATATAAACTAAACCACAATGAGATATTATTTTATACCAATAAGGTTTACCACACTGGGAAACAATTTAGCATGTAAGATAAATTCAAAGATATTAAGAGCCCACCATGCAGCAATTCTGTCACTAGCATGGGTCTGAGAGGATCCAGAAGCTAAGATGCAGAGTTTATCCTATCCTAAACATAAAATGCTTAGAGGTTAATCAGTAAGAGGCAAGGGAAGGGCTTATTAGACAAAGATTTGAGATGTACTCAAGAGTAAACGGCAGGCACCTAGAGAAATGAGACCCACTAGAGTTTGAAACTAGGTATATCTTTGTTTTTGGCAGTGAAAATCTGTGCAATTTGATTATCTAGTCTTGGTCTTTGTTTGGTGGATCTGGAGGATGACTCACCCATTGTAAGACAATGGTCTACTCAAAGGGGAAAGGACATTTTATAGCTGAAAAGGTGGTCTATTCACAAGTGAAAGAGGCCTATCTGCAAGTAAAAAGGGAGTACAGTAGCAGAATCCATTTGCAGGCAAAGGGGAATTTCCCAGGCTTATTTCCCAGGGAAAAGAGAACAAAAATTAAACTGGGCTTGTGTCCTGAAGCTAGTTATCATTTTTTAAATTATGATTTCCTTAATCCCAGAACTTAGGAGGCTGAGGCAGGGGGATGGCTGGGAGTTCAAGGCCAGCCTGGGCTACATAGTAAGTTCACCACATTTGTTATTGTTCTCTGTCTATGAACAGATAATTTTTTGTGAATAAAAAATTGCACACCTCACAGTCTTTATCCTCGCTCTTTCAGCATACATTTTCCTCAGGACACAGAGATTCACTTATTAAACAATACAATTAACCAAGGTAGTTGGCATTAATGCAATCCAAGTATACCATCTACATAACTTACTCAGATTTTGACAAGTGTCCCAATAATATAAAATAATATTTCTTTTTTTTCTGGACCAGTTTCCAACCTAAGATCACATCTTACATT